CAGGAAGAGGGCGAATTTCCACGGTCGGGAAATTTCCGGCGTCCGGCACCGGTCGGGTCCCGTGGTTGCCGGACCGGAGAGGTACAACCTGTACTTGTATTTCAGTACACTTGTACAGTAATCCTATAAAAGTGGGCATTTATGTAAATGTTTGTGCGTAAGGTCGCGTCCCATTGGCGTCGGCGGTACGCGACACTTCCAAAATATGGCCCAGATTCACGTTTTTCATCCCATACCCAATTTTGAATGTGTGTTTATTTCGTGGTTCTTTAAAGTACGGTACAGTATATTAATAACTTTAACTTTCGTTTTCAAAACATAATGTCATTGTTTATTAATTATGATACTCTATAAATGCTGTGGTACTCTAAATACTTTTTTCTACTTATATGAATCAGTTGAGTTGAGTAAACTTTTATTTGCATAGTTTTGAAGAAGACTACAGGACATAGTTTAAATTTTTACATATCAACAGTGCAGTACTTTATCTTAAGTAATATTTTCAGGCACTTTCTCCAACACTGCCTACAGTGGACCTGATGTGAACTAGAATGAAGTTGGCTGGACATAAAGTTTACTGGACCTCAAGTAGTCTGTGGTATTGTATTTAATATTGTTGTGGTACTTTGAATGTTAGGAAAGTTCTACAGGCATTCCCCAGTTTGAAAGAGTACTGTGTCTTATAAAAACCTATGGTAAATCGAATCACTATTCCTATAGACTCACATTATAAAAGCCAAGATACTTTTCTACAACGAAAACAGTTCCCCCCAAATTATGTACGGTCCCCCAAAAAGTATCGATTGAATTTTCTAGCGGTAAAATTTGAAACTCTAGATGAAATACTTTGCTGTGATCCCCAGTGCATCAGCATAAGTTGGTACAGGTACATCCGGTCACTATATGAGCAATAGCCGTAGACGGCGGGTAGCGAGGGAGTCGTCCTCGTGTGACATACGACCGTACGGTATATGCTTTACTATAACAAGAAATTCATTGAGCTATATTAATGTATGTATCGTGCCGGTTAGAAGCGAGGCCCCAACCGAGGATTACAAAAATATCGGAATATACATTAAACGGAAGAGTTTTGGAACGTCACGAGCTAGACCGAGACGGACCTCGGGGCATACGTTTCGCCACCGCGTCGTAGCGACGGTTTTATTCGTACCGAGATGCACAATGTAGTCGTCGACGACACGTCTGATTTTTGAGGAGTGACGGAGCAAATAGTAGTTGATATTAGAGTGAACAGGTACAGCAATATACAATATATTGGTCTAAATGGGATCTGCCAAATATTATCGATACGTAAATGGCGTCGGTTTAACGTCAAAATAAGATTTTAATCGGCGCGTCGCCCGTCGTTTAGCGGCGGGTAACCCATCGCGATGCCCGAGGGTTCGCTCGCCCCATTGTGCCGAGTTATTCGAGCGTTGCGCGTACCCTCGTCGCGAAGGCTAATAATAGCGCCTCTCGCCCCGTTGTGTCTTTCCGATAATTCCTCGGTTCATTTGACGTACGATCCCGGTAATGACCGGCTCGGCGTCCGTTTACGACACGCAATCCAAATTCGCGCTACGTGCGATGCGAATCCTCGGAGGATTTGCATCTTTCAAAAACACATACAGTCGTGCGCCGGTTAACATCCGATAGCATATACAGTCGGCCCTTAACATTCGCTGGGGTTAGGTAACAGAGATACCCGTGAATGTTAAAAATCCGTGTACTATTGCTAACCCCCCCCCCCCTAAAAAATCCCTGGCCCCCCATGTCCTTATTTACCGTATATACCTGTGTGTAGTTTGAGTTTTTAAGACCAAATTATTTGGCAAAAATTGGGGGTCGACCTCTAAACGGGTAATAGTTTCGTTAGGTTGAAAAATATTTACCCGTAAACAATGGAAACGATGCACCAACACACCACCCGCTGTGAGTGTCGGTACAGTTGCCAGGGCAGATCTGTTGCGAGCCCAAAGTAGCCAAATCCATGGTATGGTAGCACAGGACGATGTAAAACAAAGTATTCATTTATTAAAGTTAATTTATAGATACTGGACATAAATGTTTGTTCATTACATTTGAAACATCAATCTTTGTTAATTAAATTTGAAACAAGAGAAAACTACGATACTGGATTTTCATTAAAATATTACATCACAAGTATATTTTACCTTAACTGTGACTGAATGAATATATTCTCGGAAATAAATATGGAAATGTAATATTTTTGCTGGAATGACGTACATATTATAGTGGGAAGTGGGATAAAATCACGAGGAAAGACTTTCGCTTTCTTTCGTTGTTCAAAATATTTTACCGTAATCGCTTTTCGAATGGTTTTCAGTTAAAAAACTGTTGTATTACAATAATATTCTATCCTAATTCACTTGTGATGCAACAGTTTTTTAACTGAAAACCATTCGAAAAGAGATTACGGTAAAATATTTTGAACAACGAAAGAAAGCGAAAGTGTTTCGTCATGATTTTATCCCACTTCCCACTATAATATGTACGTCATTCCAGCAAAAATATTACATTTCCATATTTATTTCCGAGAATATATTCATTCAGTCACGGTTAAGGTAAAATATACTTGTGATGTAATATTTTAATGAAAATCCAGTATCGTAGTTTTTTCTTGTTTCAAATTTAATTAACAAAGATTGATGCTTGAAATGTAATGAACAAAAATTTATGTCAAGTATCTACGAGTTAACTTTAATGAATGAATACTTTGTTTTACATCGTCCTGTGCTACCATACCATGGATTTGGCTACTTTGGGCTCGCAAGAGATCTGCCCTGGCAACTGTACCGACACTCACAGCTGGTGGTGTGTTGGTGCATCGTTTCCATTGTTTTCTGGTAGTTACTGGTAAATATTTTTCAACCTAACGAAACTATTACCCGTTAAGAGGTCGACCCCCAATTTTTGCCAAATAATTTTGTCTTAAAAACTCGAACTACACACAGGTATATACGGTAAATAAGGACATGGGGGGGCCAGGGATTGTTTTTTGGGGGGGGGTAGCAATAGTACACGGATTTTTAACATTCACGGGTATCTCTGTTACCTAACCCCCGCGAATGTTAAGGGCCGACTGTACTTCAATTACTTCAATGTACAGAATATTCCTCTGGCGGGGCAATCCGCGTATTTGCGAATCCGTGAATGCTAAACCCGCGTATGTGAAAGGCCGACCGTACGTCCGTGCCCCCCCTCGAAAAAACACTTCCGTGATGCCTGCTGGACCACCACTCCAAGACCCCCCTGATGGAGACACGACGATCCTTCCCGTACTGGCTAGATGTTATGTGTTAAAGGAATATCATTCCTTAGGCTTTAGTAAGCATTTTCCTCCAGGTGTAATGTTAACCTACATCTATTGAGGATAAAATCTTTCACCTACAAATTGACAATAACACATTTGCTGTAATCGGACATATCTAGTTGCCTCAACAATTGCAACCCTAGTTGCAATTGGGGTTGCAATTTGAAATTCTGTGTCATTACTGAGGAATAACGAAGTCTCTGGTGCACTGCACTCTAAGATTAAGAGAAAATGGACTCGGGCATCCCGAAGGGAGAGAAAACGGACTTCCACGACGGGAGACTCGAGCACTAACACGTGCCACTCATACCGAGAGACTTGACAAGTTTTACCGACCATTAGTTATGTACGTTATCTAGTGAATTTAGTCAATATTGTACAGTATAAGTATACTGCAATTACAGCGGTCCCTCGGTTAACAATGGACCCGAGTGCAAACCCTTACTGTACGTGTACTAAACGATTACGGTACTTAAATTGTTATGTCTATGGCAAATATAGATTGTTTACACAGATATTCAAATACTATCTTACAAGTTATATTCACCCAGGTCGTTTGGGTGGCAAATTATGAGAAGAGCTTAGTCACTCTTAAGTAATGATAAATAAACACTCGGGCCTTCAGCGCCAACTGTCAAATCTTATCTCAAATAAATAAAGACATTGTCACCTCACTTCCCCCCCCTGCTCGCTGGCTACCTCCCTCCTTGTGTTCCCAGACAAAACATTGGTGATAACTTTATGCTTTAAGGTGTTTATTTTATATAATATCTCAGACTAAAGTTAGGGGATTACAATTTGCATAGCTGGAATCCTTGCAAGACAGCCAATAATTTGAATATAAACATTATATATATACTGTATTTTGTTGAAGATATAAAAATTGTAGTACATTTTATAATATAAAGTTTTTCAACTGTATTTTTGGGTAGATTTATATCAATTTCTTCATTTATTTTCATCCATTTACATGCAGACACCACAATAAAAGAAACAAACGACCTCGGTGCAAAGCCGGAGCATTGTTGTACTAATTTGATTACGGTACAAAAATTGTTATGTCCGGTGCAAATTACAGCATGTTTATATTCAAATTAATCAGTATGTTACAAGAATCCCAGCAATGTTAATTATATTGTACCAGGTCATTTCAGTGGCATTTTAAAATGAGAGAAGCTTAGTAGGACTGTTAAATAAACTCACAGAGACCTTCGGCTCAAACTGTCAAACATCTCCTCTTAACTCTCTCCCCCATCTGTTGAGCCAGGGTTTTAGGCTTACAGTTTTTATCTTACATAATATTTCAGACTAAAGTTAGGAGATTATAATTTGCATTGCTGGAATCCTTGCAAGACAGCCAATAATTTGAATGTTAACGTCATATATTTTGCTCGAGAGATAAAAATTGTTGTACGTTAGTGTACAGTACTGTAGTACATTTTATAATATAAAGTTTTTGAACTGTATTTTTGGGTAGATTTACATCAATTTCTTCATCCATTTACATGCACACAGCATACTAAAAGAAATAATTGACCTTAGTGCAAAGCTGGAGTTTTGTTGTACTAATTTGATTTGGGTACTAAAATTGTTATGTCTAGTGGAAATTATAGCATGTTTATATACAAATTAATCAGTATGTTACAAGAATCCCAAGAATGTTAATTATATTCACCCGGGTCATTTCCCGGCCGGGAAAAAATGCGCCACAGACCCGGGCGCCAACCGTCGGTGTCGCCGGGCTTTATCTTAAGTAATATCACAGACAAAAGTTAGAATTTAATTTGCATTGCTAAAATCGTTACAAGACGGCTAATAATTTTAACATAAACGTTGTATATTTTGCACAAGAGATAAAAATTTGTAGCCCTTTGTAATAAAATTAGTTACAACTAAAATTTGTATGTGAACTATAGCATGTTTATATTCAAAGTAATCACAATTTTATAAGAATTCCAGCAATGTTAATTATATTCTTCAAAGTCAGTTTAGTGATATTTCATAAGAGAAAACCTGAAAGTCACTGTTAAGGACAGATAAATAAATAAGCTCTAGACCTTGGCATCAACTGTCAAACCGATAACCCTCCTCCCCATCTTGCCGCGAATCCGATCACGAGTAAACGGGCCATTTCGCGTCTCGTAATTTTAGCCGCGTCGATTTACGAGCGTCCGTTTTAACGCGATACTACAAAAACGATGTTTTGTAGGAGATGGGCCGAGGTGCATTTGGGTATATTGGGTCTTTTTAGTATTTTGTGTTAGTCTCGAGTACCAAAGTAAATTGTTCCATTGAAACCACTTTAATTGAGTCCAAATTTGGTTTAAAGCTATTAGCTCTCTAGGAATGCGCCTCGCGTCACCGACGCGTACGCGGGACCGGTAACAATTTTACGTAAACGCGTCGACGACGTAATATTCGACAATGCTGTCGGGTCGTCGACGTGCCGTTTCTTCGTTTAGTAAATAGTCGTGGCGATTTTTGTCGCGCGCGTGTCCGTCGACGGGCACGCCGAGGGCGGTCCGTCCGCGGATGCGGGCCCGCTCGAGATTCGGCCCGTATTGCGCAGTCGTACGGTCCGTCGTCGTTTGCGAGAAGTACTCGTTTACGTAGTCTCGCGTGCAGTATATTGCATTTTCTAGCAATAGACTAGTTACGATCGTAGATTAGTTCCATCACGTAGGGTATCGTCTCGCCGTCGGCCCGGGACACACCTCCGGCCACTCGACACTCTGCTTACCGGTACACGACACAAATTAAAAATGATCAACACGATATTTTACGAGGGCATTATGATTGATTTATAATACCCTATGCAATGGTTGTATAGATGGTGTATAATTTAATAATCTGGGCAACATTCACGCATCACAAACTCGCCCACAGAAGTCCATACCGAACGCAGCAGCGATACAACCGGTCAGACCAGCCAGTCAGTCGGCTCGAACGAATCGTGATGCCGCTCTCGGCAGCGAGGCTGATGATAAATCGCCCTCGATGTTTTTCTGTTTTTAGCAATTCTATGCAAGATAACTTCAAGCTCAGTCAGCGGTTATTTTGGCTTAGGTCATATTATCGCCGTAATGTACAAATGTGGCTGATAAAATGCCTTTTGCCCGGCTGGTGACCTAAAGCTCTTCAACGGCGACTTCCATCGGCACTAGAAAGCAGGCTTCCAGTACCGACGTTAAGGTCTTGAGGATAGTTTGGCGACTATATACCACCACCTGATTCCTCCTACTCCAGCTAAATGTATCCCTCCCTCCACTTACCACTCTTCCTTTCCTCATCTATTATCTTTCCCTTCCACCCCTCTATCCCACCATCTGTCCCCCCTCCCTTTCTTCACGTACCATTCTTCCTTTCCTTATCTATTATCCTTCCCTTCCACCCCTCTATCCCTTCCCTCCACATACCACCTTTCTCTCCTAGCACCTGTCGTTCCTTTTTTGTGTTTTATTTAATAAGTTTTATAGTATATGATGGTCACCTTATTAATAATGTACCATTTTGTGTGATTACAATTACACTACACACACTTAGTCGAAGTGACCAGTTATTAGTGTTGATATTAATGGGATAAATATTAGATAAGTTTATTGGAGTTTGCTATAAAATATGTGACTATAATTATAAATTGTGAGTGTGAAGAAGGGTTTATAAGTTGTATATATGTCAATTAGAGGAACAAATAATTTGCTAACCACACCCTAGTCCTTCAATGAAGCATGAAATCATGGCGTCATTAGAAATATCTCCGAACACGTACGTTTCCATTTACTAAAGTTAGGTGGGTTTGTTTGGGTGGCGTGGATGAGACATCGACAGGCAGTCGCGTCTGGTTGCCACGATGAAAATTATGAGGGCAGGCTTTCGATGCGGCTGAAACGGCATCTTCCGGCGGAACCACAGCCCGCGATTAAAGCTGGTTTGGCACTTCTGGACGGCCTCATGTAACAAACGCGTCCGATTGATCCCTCTTTTGCCTGGGTGGATGTGTCTGTGCTAACCGTTTTAGGCAAGTGAATGTTTGGTACAGCAGATTTGGGGATTCATTGTAGGGTAGACTTGCCATACAGTGCAGTGTTTTAATTGGTATTATATTGCGGCGATCGGCGAGCACGGAGACCGAAGCCTCACTCGACCGTGTCTGGAAAGGTAAGTTCAGTCAGGAACACCTCAAGTCATCGTCCAATTATGGTCAGACGCCCGTTCGTGGCGTCTCATTGAGAATGGAGCGATCTCTCGTCATGTATTGCCAGTCAGCCTCTAATGACGTTCCAGGAGGTCGTCGTCGTCATCGAGTATTTAGCGTTAATCCGGAGTAGAAACGAGAACCTGCACGCGTCGAACCGTCGAAAGTGCGCAAGAAATGAGATCGCGTAAATAACGGCAGATTAATTTCGTCGACACTCGTACGTATAAGAGTGCAAAGTAAATAAATAATACGTATTTTTTTTATGGGAATTAGCCCACCCGGGCACGGGTCACCGACCCACATCGGGGCGAAAATGTAATAATAATAATAATAATTGTTGAAGTTACAGTGTTCATTTTTGGTGGATATCAACGAAATATGATGCGAGAGGCTCAGACAACGACACAAACGACGACGCTCTCTCCGGTATATTTTCGGGACCGTCCGTAAAAACGAAACCAAAACACGCGTGCGCATTCAAAGTGGCGCATTATTGCACAAGTAAAATAAAACATATTGCCATAAATATGGGGTAACCTAGTTTATATGTAACAATAATACTGAAGAACCTTAAAGAAATACAAAATGGAAAAAAAAATCAAAAGTGAGGAACAATAGATTTATGTTGTGTTGTCAATAGTAAGAGAAAAAATCGAGACAGAGAGTCAGACGAGCGACCCGGGACTCGGTCACAATTTTAGGGATGCCACGTAGCAGGAAGATCTACCACGGACGACACATTACGCTTCCAATATTGTCTGCGGAGGTGGTATCTCCCCGTTTGGTGGCTGCCTAAGTATGTAAGATTTTCCAATGGAAAGTGTATGTTTGGCAAATGTATCCAGGTCTTTAGAGAATGTACTCAGATATTTGGGTTAGGTGTCAAGGGTTCATGTATAATTTGCATGCCTAATTGACTATGTATATTTTTTAACCTTAATTTTTCATTTGCAGTCACCCGACGGGAGTCAGAAACGTCATTTTTGTGCGGACCGGCGACTCGACGGACCCCGGCCGAGGACGCCGCTCGAACCGCGGGTGAGAATGTCGGACGACGCCGTATTGTAATGTTTATATCGCAGTGTACGGTATTTACTTAATGGTTCTCTGAAGAATAGGAATGCGTATGTGGCGTGCCTCGGCGTCTCCGTAGGAATTGCGTAGAGTAAGTGGAAGGTTTTTAAGGGAGACGAGAATTTATTAAGCGGCGCGTCGTCGACGAAATATCGAAGGAAGTTTTGACCGGTCAACGAGAGGAAATAAGACGGGAATTTACGAGTAAAAGAGTAGTAGAACGTAAAGATAACGAGGGAGAAATGAAAATGCGACCGACGACGAGACTCGGGTGCCATCGAAAATGCGTAGAGGGACGGACATTACAAGTGTTATAATGAGAGTACTTAATTTAGCATAGAGATATAGAATTGAAGGTGTCATATCTGGTCTAAAAGTGTTGGATACAATATGAAAAGTATTATTAAAAAATGGGAGTTTAAGCCAAGGGTTAGGGTGCTGCTGGCACTTCCCCCTCCCTTCCTATTGGGATAAATCGAGAAACAAGATGAATTCTCCCCACCCCCTCCTCCACAAAGGGGAGACCAGATGGACGTCACCTGGGTGTAAGGGTTAAGAATGTAGTAGCTTGTAATGGAGGATGAGGTATATGTATTTATGTCCTATGTTTTATACTGTATTGCACGTAGGCGTTATTGTATGCACATTGCGGGTCATAATAGGAACGCGGCACGCCGGAGGCGGGTACACGGGACGATCCCTCGGAACAGAAGCCGAAAGTTCGTGGCGTGGGTATATGCACTTCCCTTAAAAGTGTAATTAGGGATCCTCCTCAGACACATTGCACCATTTGAACGCAGACGTAAGATTATCCTCATCGCCGTACACGTCCCGAGGAGACGAGGCGTATCGAGTTTACGCGGATGCATACGAGACGTTTCCTTTCGAGTACGGGTAGTTCTGCTATAATGCGATAGTTGTGTTCTTGTAAAACATCGTGTTATAGAAATTCGTGTAATAGAAATGACAGGGCTTATGGAGAAAATAGGGTTAGGTGCAGATTACTCCAAATCGACAAAAATTTCGTAGTACAGTCTAAATAAATGTTACATTGATATCTAATATTGAAATCATACAGTAAATGTTACACTTGACCTTGAAAAAATCTGAATATAACTTGATGGGGGAGAAGATTGATGTTGAGGAGTCATGAAAGATCAAGCTTTTCTTCGAGTGTTATAGCCTTTCTTTTATGATCACCAGAGTGCTTCCCAGAGATATTCTTCTTTTCCATAGTCACAAAATTGGAGAAACAGTAATCACCGAGGACACTTAAAAATTTCACACGTGTTTCAAACAAAGTGTGGAGTAAACAGAGCGCGCGGGTCTAAAACGCTATGTATTTTGTTTTTCTCTTATTTAAAATTTTACATATACTGTAGAGGTATACTGTATACATAAATATTACATAAATTATTTGTGCAATTCTTCACAAACAAAACACATAAATCAATTGAACTTGCGATGTCGAGCGTGAACTGTAAACACTGCATAACCCTGCGCCAAGCCACAATGTAAAGTACACTTTAAACGCTACTTATTTTGTTTTTCTCTTTTATTTAAATTTTTACAATTTACATATTCATCTTATGCTACAGCGCCCACAAAACACGAGAAACGTTCGAGTCCCCCAGTAGAGATGTCCGTTCTCTATCCACTCGAGGATGTGTCGGTCGTCCGTTTTCTTTTTGTGTACTCGCTCGGGGACTCGAGTTTATAACACAGGATGATAAGGGAATTTGAATTTATTTGTTGATTTATTTATTTATAATATACTGTAATATATTAAATATGCTGCAAGTATTTTGTTTAATTTATATACTTTTTTCTGGAAAAAGGGAGGCTACCATTATACCCGGTAATGTACATTTATGGCGATCGTTAAGGACCAAACTCCGAATCCGTGACGTGACTTCCGTTCATCATTTATGTCCTAAATTTACCAATGTGGGTAGTTTCAAGAATTAACGCAGTCATTTACCGAATATTCTTTGCCCAAAAATAAATTTCAAATGAATTATTTATAGGAGATAAGTATTATGATCAGTAAATATACCGATATGCATTACCGACCACAAGGACGGCTAAAAATAGGCACAGACGGTCACAGTCGAGGTCACTTTCCCTTTGTTGTCACTGTAGGACCTTGTGAGTGGTTTACTGTATACATAAATATTACATAAATTATTTGTGCAATTCTTCACAAACAAAACACATAAATCAATTGAATATGCGAAGTCGAACGTGAACCGTAAACACTGTGTGATGTAAAGAGAGCGCCGGTGTGAAACGCTATGTAATTTGATTGTCTCTTTTATTTAAAATTTTACAATTGACTTATAATATATAGGTATACTGTATACATAAATATTACATACATTATTTCTGCAATTGTTCACAAACAAAACACACGACTCAATTGAACACGCGATGTCGAACGTGAACCGAAGCCATAACAATCGTTCGAGTGGAATCGCGTCGGAGGAAACGAGTTCGCGTTTTACAAATATCGTTCCTCAATTCATAAATCGCGTCGTCAAAACACGCGTTATAGCAGAACTCGCCGTATAGTTTTTGGTTCACCGCCAACACGTTTATCCTCGTACCGGATCTCCGTCGTCGCGTATTTTTACGCGACATCTGCGGAAGTTACGTTCACAGACGTAAATGGTACGACCTCGAGAGCACGACGTACATTCGGTCGTAAAGTACACCGGTCCGGATCGAGTGGACTTTCCCAATCGTCTTATAGATTTCTCGAGTTCTTGGGAATGGTACGAATATGTACAATTAATATTATGTTATGTATAGGTATATTGTATGTTTTTTGATAATCGTTAAGTATGGGAGGTGGCGACGTGCACACCGTACCGACGGGTGGAGGAGCGTCGAGTTTGATTTTGTATTAGGCGACGGGGTCGCGGGTATTTACGGAGATACGGCAGAGCGCGACGTCGGCGCCCGCGTACGGCACGAGCGGGAGGAGTAATTTGTGCGGGACGTAATTGTGGGGTAGTCGAGTATGCCTGTGTGTTTTAGTTGGCAATAGTGTGTAGATATGTTTGTGTATAGGTATACTGTAGAAAGAATGAAGTTAGATGAAGTTTGTTTGGGAATTAGTAGAATTTGTAATAGTAGATAATTGTCGAGATATTTTGACAGTAATTTGTCCGTTTCAGTTGCGGAGGAGCGCGCCGATACGAGTCGGAGACGGCTCGTACAGTCGGCGCACGAGAGCGGTCCGGACGAAGACATTCGGGAACCGAGGACGAAGGCGCTCGTCGACTGCGGACGAAGACACCGGTCGACGCGCGAGGAAGATGCTCCGGAACACGGGAAGAACGCCACACTCCCGAGTGCGGGAAGACACTCGTCAACGCAGAAGGAGACACGCATCAATGTCGGGCCGGCGTGATTGTTTTAAAGACGATTTAACGTGTAAAATGAATGTACGTGTTGTTTGTAACGATTGTTATAATGTTTGTAGTATTGTTTTTAGAGACCGACTCTGCGAAGGCGGAGGAAGTCGATACATGTCGAGAATGAATTTATTGAAGATGTTGCCTGTGATCACTAGGTGTTTGCACTAATTTGGGGAGATGATTACGATCGTAGAACGTCACGGAATGCGGCGCGCATCCGTAAATAACGGCAGCATAAATACGAGAGAACGCGGTGGCGGTGGCGGCGGGGAAGTGCGCCTTTTGAAAGTAAAAGAACGGGGGAGATCGGACCGACATAGATGGTGTTGTTGTGGTAACCGATAAGAATGGAGAAATGATGACTATTTGGTGGGTTTTTTAGGACAGAGAGAGTAGTTATATATTAGTGAAGATATAAAGTAAAAGGTGATAAGGATGGTGGTGGGGGGGGGACAACGAATGATATATTTTGTAGGGTATTAAAGGAATTGACTCGTCAGTGCCGAGTCGGCGTAATTGTGAGAAACGGATGCGACGGGGATTGTAAAGAAGTCGCGCGGTAGAGGAATTGGCGGAAGCGACGATCGCAATAACCTTTCGACGTGGGACGGACGACGACGAATTTAGTAAATGGCGGTTTAGGAAAGGGTCGTACGTAAAGCGGCGGGTGCGGGCGCGTGCGGATACGGACGACGGTCGATCGGGGTCCGTTTACGGGACGGGAAAGAGGACCGACGGAGAACGGACGGGAATTCGGACGGAGACGAGGCGGCGCACAAACGAAAGTATACCCGCGAGATGCGTAAAGAATGATTTGGAAGTAGATTTAACTAAGAGTCGCGTGTTTGAAATGGCGGGAAGGTTCGACAGGTGTATTAGTTTTACGTAATTGTGGCAGTGCGTTTGAGAGCGGGCAGTCGTGGAGTGCGCGTGGGTACCTATTTTGAGACCGCGACATCTACCGGTAAGGAAATACGTAATGCAGCAGTAATATATTTGTGGGATGAATTTATACTCGTTCACCCGTACTCCGTGTTGCTCCACTCGTGTTAAGGTGTTTATTGTGAAGGCGTTTGTATAATAATAAAATTTGTTGGACGAGTAGGGGAAGGAATACGAGCACAATGTTTAATTTGTAAGCCCTCCCTTTTTTGTCTTTTCCCTCTGCCTCCCCGTCCTCCTCCTCCTTTTTTGACGTGTTTGTCGTGCGGCTTCTTTTCCCTCCGTTTCATTGCAACTCCCTTCGTTTTTCTCCCCCCTACCTGCTTCTGTCCGTCCTCTTCTTCTTCCTGTTTCCTTCTTTTACTCCTCCTCTTCGCCATATGTCTTCCTCGTTTATTCTTTTGCTTGTTCTGCGTCTGTTCCTTCTCCTCCTCTGTTTGATTGTGATTCCCTTGTTGTTTCTCACCCTCCCATTGCTCTTGATCCTGTTGTTACTCCCATTTGTTGGTTGTTTTTGTGTTCCTGTATATGTTTGTTGTTACCAATTGAATTTGTGGTTGTATTACTGCTGCTGTGTGTATGTTGGATTGTATTTATTTGTTGTTATATATATGTTGTGAGTGTGAATTAGATATATTGTGTTGATATTTGACTAAATGTTGTTGTTAAGAAGAGGAGGAGTTGTATTTAGATTTGGAAAGTAACTGTCATCGAGGACGAGAATGCACGTACCGTCTGTAGTTTGAATACGCGGTCGCGTCGGGTTTGGGCAGTTATATATCGGGAAATAGTTGAAGAGTGTAAGTTAATGTTGTGGACTTGTGAAATTGTTGATTGTGGAATAGTTATTGGTTTTAATTTGAAGGGTGTCAATTGCGCACGGGGAATATTTTGTCGGGAGTTTCGCGTCGTCGGAATCGACCGGAACGGCCGGAGTCGCGGAGTTATTTTTTGTCGTCGTAGATTCGTTCGCGGAGTCGTAAAAAATGTGGCGTCGTCGACGAAAGTCAATCGTCCGCGGATCGGTCGTCTTCGAATATTTGTAGACTTGTATATGTTTGTTTGTAATTGATTGAAGTTATTTGTAGTTTGAAAAATGTTTTGACTTGTTGTTGTTGTTTGATTATAGTATAGTCATTTGTGCAGTTTGAAATTATTTTGGTTTGTGGATTTGGAAAATGTGTTGCATGTATGTGGACTTTGAATAAGTGAGATATTTTGTGGACCGAAATGTCGTACCTCTAGTCGGGCAACCTCGGGACCGGACCATGGAAATTGACCCTTTTCCTGGATAGATAGTGACTTGTGCTTATGCTTGGAAGCACTAGCACCACTTTCTCTGCATCACGGCCTCTTTGAAGACATATTGAAGGGTTAAATGTCGTATAGTAGCTCGTGAAATTTGGAGAGTTTTTAATTCTTAACGTATTTTATTGGAACAGAGCCCAAAATAAATAAATAGAAATTTTGACGGCGGAAAGTGGAATTTCGACGGGTTTGAACGGCCCGCCAACGTGCAGACGACTGGCACAATCGCGTAAAGAGCGTCATTTCTCTCGTGTAGAAAAGATTCATTATTGAATGTCTTTTTTATTGAATTACTGTTTGTGTGCAAAATGAGCAATACAATTCATTAATAATACGTAGAATATTAAAACACACGGCATTGTTTTCGTCGATTACAAAACCGGTGACTGACTGGTTCTACATATAAAAGAGAAGAAAATAAGACCTTGGCTGTAGCTGTAGTCAAATGACTATGGTTGTTTTAAGTCATGTTAATAAATGGAACAATAGAAGTCGCTAACGATAACGGTAAAGAAAAAAAAGAGATCGCGCGCGTAAGTGGGCATGCGAAAAGATATCGTCATTACTTTACGTAAGAATACGAAAGCAACACTTATTTACTGTTCATATATATTGTAATTGATGTTTGTGAATTTGTTTTTATTGAATTAATGTTTGTGTGTGCAAAATTAACACTAGAATTTATTATTAATACGTGGAATATCAGAGGAGACGAGACGAGACGGCTGCCGGCATCGTTTACGTTAAAGCTCACAAAACCAGTGACCGATTGGTTGTACATATAAAACTGAAGAAAATAAGACCCTGATTTTAGCTGCAGTAAAATTAATGTAAAAAAATTAATATGCTCGTTTGAAGTACGTGTAATGTTAAAAAATGGAACAATATAAGTAGTTAACCATAAAAAAAGTGAGTGCGCACATGTGAAAAGATATCGTCATTACTGTACATAAGAATATGAAAGCAACACTTATTTATTGCTGAAGGGTTAAATGTTGTACTCTATAGACAAAGAGAGAGAGAGAGCAGCTGAAGTGCTGGATGTAAACAAACCTTAATTTCCTGGGTTTTTTTTTTTTTTAGGGGATTAGCCCACCTGGGCATAAGTCACTGACCCACAATTTAATACTCCTGCTATAATAATGATAATTTGCAAGAAAAAAAAAAAAACTGCCTATGTACCTGTTGGAGAAAGTAAAATTGTTTTGGACCACGGGAGTTTGCGGAGCACAGAATGCCGGACTAGAGAGTTACAACCTGTAGTTGTTTGTGGACTTGAAATTGTTAACCTTTGTGGACTTTGAATAATTGATAATGTTTGTCGACTTTGAATTTGTTTTGCCTTTTGTGGACCGGGAAATTTATGCGTCGGGTCCGAGGACCGGCAATAATTATCGACCCACGCGAACTCGGAATAACGTATTACGCCGGTGGAATCGGACTAATTTTTTATCCCGTGTGGACTTTGAATAATTGTGTATTTTGTGTGGAATTGGAATAATTGTTATCCTTTGAAAATGTCTCATTGTTTGTGTATTTTGAATAATTGTCAATTTGTGTGGACTTTGAATAATTTATTGTTTGTGTACTTGGAATAATGATCAATTTGTGTGGACTTTGAATATTTTGTGGAGTTTGAATAATTTATTGTTTGTGTACTTGGAATAATGTTCAATTTATGTGGACTGAATAATTAATGATGTTTGTGGATATTTGAATATTTTGTTATGTTGTGTGGACTTTGAATAATTTATTGTTTGTGTACTTGGAATAATGTTCAATTTATGTGGACTTTGTATAATGATTGTGGACTTTGAATATCCTTTGTGGACTTAGTATTAATTGATCCTGTGTGGACTTTGAATAATTAATATGTATTTGGACTTGTTATTATTTTATCGTTTGTGGACTTTGAATAATTTTCAATGTAGACTGAGTATTTTTGTCATGTTGTGTGGACTTAGAATAATTTGTATCCTCTGTGGACTTGTAATAATTGTTAATGTATGTGGACTTGGAATAATTTATGATGTTTGTGGAGTTAGTATTATTTTAGCCTTTGTGTATGTGTAGTTGGTATGTTTGTGGACTTGTTATTATTTTATCGTTTGTGGACTTTGAATATTTTGTGGATATAGAAAATGTTTTATCGTCTGTGGCTCCGTATTAATGTATTACGTCCGTGGACCGGGAATAATTTTGTATCGTGTGTGGACTTGTAAAAATTTTCATTGTTTGTGGACTTAGATAAATGTTCATATGTTGTGGAGTTAGTATTATTTGAACTTGTGTGGACTTGTAATAATTTTCAATGTTTGTGGACTTAGAATAACTTTTAATGTATGTGGACTTTGAATAATTGTCATCGATTGTGGACTTATTATATTTTTGATGTTTGTGGACTTTGTATTATTTTATTGTTTGTTTTTGTATTTGGAAATATTGTCATTGTTTGTGGAATTAGAAAAATTTTCATATGTTGTGGAGTTAGTATTATTTTATCCTGTGGACTTGTAATAATTTTCAATGTGTGTGGACTTGGTATATTTTTCATATTTTGTGCTTTGAAATATTGTCTTTGTTTGTGGAGTTTGAAATATTGTCTTTGTGGACTTAGTTTTTTTTCCTCTTGTGGAATTGGACTAATTTATGTTTGTGGACTTGGAAAATTTGTTTATCCTTTATGGACTTAGAAAATTTTCATGTTGTGTGGACTTAGAAAATTTTCATGGTGTGTGGACTTAGTATTTTTTTGTTGTTGTGTGGACTTAGTTTTTTTTCCTGTGTTGTGGACTTAGAAAATTTTTCGTTGTTTGTGGACATAGAATAATTTTCATGTTGTGGACTTAGAAAAATTTTCATCCTTTGTGGACTTAGAAAATTTTTCATGGTGTGTGGACTTAGTATTTTTTGTGGTGTTGACTAAGTATGTTTTTGGTTGTGTGGACTTAGTAAATTTTTCGTTCTTTGTGGACATAGAAAAATTTTCATGTTGTGGACTTAGAAAAATTTCATGGTGTGTGGACTTAGTTGTTTTTGCTGTGTTGTGGACTTAGAATATTTACATGTGTGTACTTGGGTTTTTTTCATGTCATGTGGACTTAACAAATTTTTCGTTCTTTGTGGACTTAGAAATTTTTCATGTTGTGTGGACTTGGTATTTTTTTTTTTGTGGACTTAGTATTTTTTCATGTGTTGTGGACTTAGTATTTTTTTGTTGTTGTGTGGACTTAGTTTTTTTCCTGTGTTGTGGACTTAGAAAATTTTCCATCCTTTATGGACTTATAATAATTTCATGTGTGGAATTAGTATTTTTTGTTGTTGTGTGGACTTAGAAAATTTTTCGTTGTTTGTGGACATAGAATAATTTTCATGTTGTGGACTTAGTTTTTTTTCATGTCATGTGGACTTAGAAAATTTTTCATCCTTTGTGGACTTAGAAAATTTTTCATGGTGTGTGGACTTAGTATTTTTTGTGGTGTTGACTAAGTATGTTTTTGGTTGTGTGGACTTAGTAAATTTTTCGTTTTTTGTGGACATAGAAAAATTTTCATGTTGTGGACTTAGTTT